TACTCTCTAGCTCCCTTATCTCCTCCTCCCATGCTCGTCTCCAAGACTTCTCCTGGGTGTTCCTCTGGAACTCCCTACCCCAATCTATCAGACTATCACCTACTCTACTTGCCTTTGAAAGCTGAAAACCTTTCTCTTCAGGGAAGCCTATCCCGCCCTCTGCTAATTCTGGAATCCTCTACTCTTCCAACCACTCCATCCCCCAAAGTGACTACCTACTGTACCATTCACCTCTCCCTCCTAGATTGTAAGCTCCAAGGAGCAGGGCCCTTAAATCCCTCTTGTATTGAACTGTATTGTTACTGTATTGTCTCTCACTATAATGTAAAGCGCGCTGAGCAAACCGTTGGCGCTATATAAATCCTGTATAATAATAATAATGTCCATGTCCTTGTTTGCACACAGGTCTCTCCCTTGGCAGCTTTGCCCAATGATTGCCAGGTGAGGGTGTGGATTATCTGGCCGGGACCCGGTTATTGACATCCCTAGCCTTCAATCGCAGTGAGGGTAGGGCGGCACACGCACGCGCCCCCTACTCAGAAATGCAAATCACACATATATATACATGATTTTGAGAAGCCCTGCCGCTCTGTAGCAGTAGTTCTACTATAGGGTGGCGGGCAAGCGGTTAAAGTGCTACTGTATATGGTGATCCTGACATGAAGATCCTTGTTTAGGTGCTTCCTGTCATAGAGTGACAACGTTCATTCCCTGTCTCCCAAATGTACCCCTGCATTCTCTCAACCTATAGCTAAGATCCTTTTGGATTGGACTTCAGGAGGAGCCCAGGAGGGCTGTCTACCAACCTCTAATAATTTTATGCGGGATAGAGACCTGAGCCAAGGGGCATATTTACCACAAGGCAAACAAGGCACTTGCCTAGGGCAGCAGTTTTCAGGGTGGCATCACCTCTCCCCAGAAGAAGGGATGAAAGAAGGGGCATGCATTCCATGGAAACTAGGTGGGATCCAAGTGAGGCTGCGGCTGCTTGATGGTGTATGTAGAGCCTGACTCTAGTTCCCGGGGATGTCCGGAGCTGTGAAGATGAGCGTCTTTTTCTCTATCACCAGGGGGGATAGTGGAAGGCTCTCCCGGGTGGGGGGCAGGGGTGTTATTGGTCAATGTCAGCAATGTCAGGCTCTCTCTGCTGGAGGGGGAAGTGGGGGTGGTGTTGGTTGGTGTTTGTGGGGGCAGACGATTTTTGTGTTGCCTAGGGCAGCACAAAACCTAAATACACTACTGCCTGGGCCTACATGACTTCATATACATGCAGTGACAGACCAGGCTGGAACGACTTGGGTGGTGGGTCTACACCTGGGATCACAAAGAGCATACACAATGAAAGCTTCTACGTTGGATTGGATTGTCCCTCTGTTACAGGGGCTTAAGACTACAAATAACTGTTACAATGCAAACGTTACACAGGCATGGTCTACTACTGTCACCATTAGCACGTCAACAGGTAGGCTGCAGAAAATTATAAGTACTGAAATGCAACAAAGGAAGAAAAAAAGGTGAAAGTAAGTATTTTTTTTTTTTAAATGTTGATACACGGTACCTTAACCAAACATTCAGTTTAGCTTTACTTCTACTGTGTGTATGTGTGTGTGTGTTTTTTTCTAAGATTTCCTTTAAGGAATATATATAATAATTAAATTTTTGCTCTTCCAGAAGGCTCTAGCTGATGTTTGTTGCATTACACACCTCTAAACTAATACAAAGTGCACAAAGCATCATTATTATTAGCATGGAAGCATTCAGCATATTTAGGGCCGTGAAGCCTCTATTTTAATGATGCATCCTGCGTGCCGTTAGCTTACTCCTAAATTGCTATTCATTACCTTTAGCAAAAGTTCAAGCTTTCTTCTCCCTTTAAATTTCCACTCTTAATATATGCCTGTTTCATTAGTGACCACATTTATAGAAAGAATGATTGTGTCTTTGTTTGTAATTATGTCACCTAGCTAATCCTTTCATAGATTCCATTATCTTCTAGAGTCTCTTAAAAGGATACATACTAAAGAAATGTAAAAAAAAAAAAAAAACATTCCGCTTAGATAGGGTTGTCTTTTCTGACCTGCAAAATAATGGTAATAATGAAATGTTTTTAACAAAATTAAAAGCATAAATTGTAAGCCTGCTGGAGCACTTTAGTGACGCAGTTGCACTTATTATTCCCTAAAGACAATTTTTCTTATAAATAATTTTTTTCATCTTTTAGAATGGTGAAATTCTATTTGTTTTAACCTTTGTGTGCCAGATACTCTAATGTCTTTACTGTAACAAAGTTTCAATGTGATTGTATTATGTTTGTTATTGTTGCAGATTTAAGGAAACCTGTACTGAAAAAACAGAAAGGTTGCAATTGCTGAGCTCCTTTAGAAAATGCTGGACATCTGGCATTTGAGACACTGACTTGGAACTAGTGTGAAGGTTCATAGTAAAGTCAACACTCCTACTGAAGCATGACAGCCAGGCAACTAGCTTTATCAGAAGGAGAGGTCAACAATGTTAGCCATCATACTTTCTAAATGCAGGTTCTCTTTTTTCATTTATTGCTTTTGTGGGGGGTTTTTTTAGCTTTTGGTTAGGGTTTTTTTTATTTTTACAGTGTATAATATTATTACTGATCACTGTATTAATGTCCCTGGTGATGTCAGTGGCAGTTAGTCAGTTCCCCACAGTTAGTGTCAGATTGCCCTATCGCAGTCCCATTATAAGTTGCTGATCATCACCATTAGTAGTATGTGAAAATAAAAAATTCCAGTCTATACAGTATCTCCCAGAAGTGAGTACACCCCTCACATCTTTGTAAATATTTGATTCTATCTTTTCATGTGACAACACTGAAGAAATGATACTTTCCTACAATGTGACGTAGTGAGTGTACAGCTTGTATAACAGTGTAAATTTGCTGTCCCCTCAAAATAACTCAACACACAGCCAGTAATGTCTAAACCGCTGGCAACAAAAGTGAGTACACCCCTAAGTGAGAATGTCCAAATTGGGCCCAATTAGCCATTTTCCCTCCCCGGTGTCATGTGACTCGTTAGTGTTACAAGGTCTCAGGTGTGAATGGGGAGCAGGCGTGTTACATTTGGTATTATCTCTCTCACTCTCTCATACTGGTCACTGGAAGTTCAACATGGCACCTCAAGGCAAAGAACTCTCTGAAAATCTGAAAAAAAGAATTGTTGCTCTACATAAAGATAGCCTAGGCTATAAGAAGACTGCCAAGACCCTGATACTGAGCTGCAGCATGGTTGCTAAGACCATACAGCTGTTTAATAGGACAGGTACCACTCAGAACAGGCCTCGTCATGGTCGACCAAAGGAGTTGAGTGCACGCGCTCAGCGTCATATCCAGAGGTTGTCTTTGGGAAATGGACGTATGAATGCTGCCAGCATTGCTGCAGAGGTTGAATGGGTGGGGGGTAAGCCTGTCAGAGCTCAGACCATAAGCCGCACACTGCACGAAATTGGTCTGCATGGCTGTCATCCCAGAAGGAAGCCTCTTCTTAAAATGATGCACAAGAAAGCCTGCAAACAGTTTTCTGAAGACAAGCAGATTAAGGACATGGATTACTGGAACCAGGTCCTGTGGTCAAGTATGTTGGTGGGAGTGTCATGATTCCCTCCCTTTGGAGACTGAGCTGCAGGGCAGTATTCCAACATGATAACGACCCCAAACACACCGCCAAGACGACCACTGCCTTGCTAAAGAAGCAGAGGGTAAAGGCGATGGACTAGCTAAGCATGTCTCCAGACCTAAACCCTATTGAGCATCTGTGGGGCATCCTCAAACAGAAGGTGGAGGAGTGCAAGATCTCTAACATCCACCAGTTCCGTGATGTCGTCATGGAGGAGTGGAAGAGGACTCCAGTAGCAATCTGTGAAGCTCTGGTGAACTCCATGCCCAAGAGGATTAAGGCAGTAATGGAAAATAATGGTGGCCACACAAAATATTACACTTTGGGCCCAATTTGGCCATTTTCACTTAGGGGTGTACTCACTTTTGTTGACAGCAGTTTAGACATTAATGGCTGTGTGTTGAGTTATTTTGAGGGGACATCAAATTTACACTGTTATGCAAGCTGTAAGCTCACTACTTTACATTGTAGCAAAGTGTCATTTCTTCATGTCATGTGTTGTCACATGAAAAGATAGAATCAAATATTCACAAAAATGTGAGGGGTGTACTCACTTCTGTGAGATACTGTATACAGTATATCATAGGTTGTAGATGCTATAACTTTCACACAAAACAATTAATATACACTTATTGGGATTATGTTTTAGCAAAGACATGTAGCAGAATACATTTTGACAAAAAAATTTTTAATTTTGTTTATTGGATATGTTTTGTAGCAGACAGTGAAAAATATTTGGGGTTTTTTCAGTATTTTTTTTGATATTTTTTGCTTATATGGCAAAAAAATAAATAAATAAATGTGGTGATCAAATACCACCAAAAAAAGCTCTATTTGTGTGAAAAAAAATAATATAAATTTTGTTTCGGTACACTGTTGCATGACCGTGCAATTACCAAAGTAGCGCAGCATGGTATTGCAAAAAATGGCCTAGTCATGAAGGGGGTAAAATCTTCCGGAGCTCAAGTGGCTATGTAAAACCTTTATCCCAAAAGGAAAAAAACTATTGCTGCAACTGATTAAACATTTTTAGCTTTAATTAGTAAAGTCCATCTAAATCTGCTAGTGCATCTAACACTACCCTTGGCCCAGATTGACAATGTTGCTGCTCAAAGGTGTCTCCATTGCTCCTTCATCCAGACTGGAGACTCCCTGGAACAGAAAGTGTGTTATTGGATGGATCACTAAGAAAAAATAAAGGAAAAAAAAGGTTAAACAAAGAAAATTAATGCAGCCACCACTTTGAAGATTTGGAAAGCTGCAATATAAAACATTTTTGTTTTGGGGTTTAAGCCACTTTAACTCCAAGAGGTGGAGGTGCTTGGTGCTGACCAGGGGCGGACTGACAACTCATGGGGCCCCCGGGCAATAGGGGATCATGGGGCCCCTGTGTCCTTGCCCAAACTCAAAAAAGCCTATGAAAAATGTACCAGGGGCATCTCATGGGGCCCCCTACTGACCCCGGGCCCTCGGACAGTGCCCGAGTTTCCAAATGGTCAGTCCGCCCCTGCTCCTGTCCCTTCTGTATTGATCTGTATTGCAATTGTAATGTCTCCCTTTATATTGTAAAGTGCTGCGTAAACAGTTGGCACTATATAAATCCCATAATATAATAATACCTCTAGGATGAACTTCCACTTTCACGGTTCATGCATTTTCAGAAGAAATGTTTAATACCTATAAATACACTCACCGACCACTTTATTAGGTACAGCTGTTCAATTGCTTGATAACACAAATTGCTAAGCAGCCAATCACATGGCAGGAACTCATTTAGGTATCTAGATGTGGTGAAGATGACTTGCTGAAGTATAAACTGAGCATCAGAATGAGGAAGAAAGTGGATTTAAGTGACTTTGAATGTGGCGTGGTTGTTGCTCCCAGACGGGCTGGTCTGAGTATTTAAAAAACTGCTGATCTACTGGGATTTTCATGCACACAACCATCTCTAGTGTTTTATAGAGATTGGTCCGAAAAAGAGAATATATCCAGTGAGTGGCAATTGTGTGGACGAAAATGCTTTGTTGATGTCAGAGGTCAGAGGAGAATGGGCAGACTGGTTGCTGCAACATTCAGATGGTAGGGTCATAATTTGGCGTACACAACATGAAAGCATGAATCCATCCTGCTTTGTGCCAACAGATCAGGCTGGTGGTAGTGGTGTAATGGTGTGGGAGGAGATATTATTGGCACCAGCAAGGTGTACCTAACAAAGTGACCAGTGAGTGTATGCAGCTTTTAATAAAAATAAAATGGAGATTGTGCCACAAAGTTCTATTTAGGAACTGCTTTTTACAGGGTGACAATGCTCTGTTCCTGTCTCCCAATTGTTCTCCTGCATTGTCTCATTGTCTTTCAAGCTTCTTATGAACACTACAATTGACCATTTCAGCACACATTACACAAGCATGATCCACAGTTGTCACCATCATGAAATCCACCTGTGAAACAGCATGCAGTCCTTGGTGCAAAGCACGAGGACAGAGGAAAGGTTGTAAAGGAGCTGCAGGAGAACAGAAACACTGAGATGCAACAAAGGATGAAAAAAAGTGAAAACAAATATTTCCTTTATAAAATGGCTGTTCGCATTACTCAGAGCATTAGCAAACTAAACATTGTCACAAAGGATCTACATCTGCTTATACAAAAGTTTCCAACAACCTAGAACTACATTGTGCAGTTTATTTATGAAATAAACCTTAGACTAGATTTCCACAGTCAGCACTGAAGAAAGTAAAGGAAGACATCCGAGCAATCTTTTCCTTGGCTCCTGAGATTCTCTTACTTTTTAACTACACTTGTAACTACTTTGGTTTTGTGATATATTGTGTCCATAATTTATTTTGCCCCTGTATTTTATTATGGTGTGACCAAGACCTCGCAAGACATCCTGTCTCGGATAAGATATATTTGTGCTTGCTATAAATAAATAACTTAATAAACATTTCCATAAGGTTAAAGATGTCAAGCTATGTCAAGCAAAGTCAGGCATGTTTTTTTTCTCTACTTCTCATCAAACAGTCAGTTCTAAGCCGCATGATTCAAGAAGGACAATAGAAAATCTTTATTGTGTAATTAATATTATTACAGGTTACAGTTGTTGTCTCCAAATTCACATTTAAATTTAAAATTTTTCATGAAAAGAAATCCAAGGCTTATGTATAAATAAATTAAGTATACAACAAATGTCTATGAAATGCATATTACAGGAAATGGGCTTTGGGCTGTGGTTAAATATAGGTTCTACCATGCGGAGACCATGCTGTAACTACAAACTAAGCTGCCATTAATTGTTGGTACTAGGGACTACTTTAACTGTACTCCTTTTTTTTTCTTAAAGGAACCTTGTATTTACAGAAATAAGGACAGACAACTATAATCATTTAAAGTTGATTCAGTATCAGATATATATCTGATATATTGCATAAAGTATATTAAAGCGGAGTTCCAGTCAGTTTTGTGTTTATTAAAAGTCAGCAGCTGCAAAAACTGTAGCTGTTGACTTTTAATAAACACACACTCATCTGTCCCAGGGTCCAGCGATGTGCTCACTCACGCCGTCCCTTCTCTGCCTCTTCTCTCCTCTGTGCCGGCATCACAACTGTGGGCACCGGCTGTGACAGCTTCACACAGCGCATTCCGATTAGTCCGGCAGTCTTCTGGAACCTGTGAATGTTCCCAGGAGATCGCGGGAGAAAGGAGGGGGCGAACTTCCGGCTCACTTCACCGCGGCAAACTGAGCCAGAAGTGGGAGCGGGTACCTGTAAAAAACAGATATCCGCTCCCCCCCAAAAAGTGCCAAATATGGCAGTGGAGGGGGGGGGTGGAGGCGAACAAGCGGAGCTTCCAATTTTGAGTGGACACATTTGTGCATCGGCTGCGATTTCTATAACAGAGAAATCACTATGATCATTACCTCCATCTAGTGGTCAATAGATGGAACTGACAATCGTAGGGAATACAATAGTAGAGAAATTATGGCCAGAATTCAAGCAGCATGCTTGCAACATTTGTCCAATGAATGTTTAACAAATAGAACCTTTATTATTGCCTCTCACAGAGAACATAGCACTGTCCTGATAATGCCATCTTCTGCTTCCCTCTCCAGCAGGAAGGCACTATCTTTGTTCAAGCATCACTCATGGTCAGTATCTAGTTCCTGGGCTAAGATGGTGATTCAAACGTAACCCAATCATATAAATTTGATGCCTTTGCAATTCTTGGCTGTTCACAAAGGGTGGCACAGAACATTCAAAGGAGCAGCCTCCCTCCTTTTGACTTACTCCACTGTAGTCGATTTTGTGTCATAAGTAAGGTTTTAAGGTGTCATAATTATAGTTGTATTGTGTTTCCTTAAAAGAGAAGTATGGAAAAAGTAATTTTTAAAAAATCATACTTACCTAGGTGCATGCAGAGTTCTCACTGCCTCTGTGAGCAGAGAGTGGTGACTTTCAGACACCGTTGTCTGCTCTCCCCCCCTCCCCGCAATCAATGGATTGCTGGGCTGTGGAGGGGGTGGCTGGCTCAGGCTCTCAACAGATCACTGGAGGCTGAGCCAGGTGCTACTCCAGACTCTGGGGATTGACTCGGGATTTTTCCCCAGCCTGTACCGGCTGAGTGATGTCAGCCAACAGCGAGCTTCAGCCCACTGTCAGCTGAAAACGGGTCACAAGAGTACAGAGCGAACTGCACTCCTGTGATCCACAGGAAAAGTACAGTTAAAATCTTTGGCTGTACTTCTCCTTTAATATGTGGGTCAAGATGGACTTCAATAGTATCCAATACTGCCTATGACACCCTATTGCACCTAAGTGATGGGCTGCTCTCCATTTCTACTTTTATATGAATGCATTTAAAAACCAGGGAGAAACCTAATGAAGGGGAATATTATTTCCCGGTACCAAACAAGTGACCACTGTCTTGACCCACTTAATGTTTTAAGAGGTCTGGAAGTCCTATTTGTTTTTATTACACTGGAAAGAAGACGTAATGTAGATAAAAGGAAAATTTTCACTGTTAACACGGATTGTTTTGGAGGACCTATTTATTGGAAACTAGTTCCATGCTTTTTAGCAATAATACCAAGGTGTGGTAGATTGCACAGTGCACTTTAAAGAAGATTCAACAGCCTATCTGGACTTTTATGGGTTACTGTTCTTTGACACTATTATAATTAGAGAGCAGGACAAAAGTATGTATATTATAAGAATTGATGATATAGTAGACAGTGAAGTTTGATGGAAAATTCTCAGCACCATCCCCAATTTGACAAATAAAGAGAAAAATGGTTTTGGTCGATCCAAAAGGAAGGACTGGAAAATTGAGGATTTTTTATGTGCCAAAAACTAAATTTATATACATTTAAAATACAATTTTTATTTTAACAATACAATAATTAAAAACCATATCCCACAGAGTCATTCAGTCAACTGTATGATAGGCTTACTACAAAAACAAGGTGGATCAACGTATTTCTCTTGTAAATAGCTTCTTCAGGATCCACTTGCTTGTATTATCTTGGGATATGGTATCTAAAAAATAAACAGTACAACATATAAATATAAAAAATCATACAAATAGCCCCAGTCGGGCAAAGACAAATCAAAAAGGGAGAGAGGGAAAAAAAGGAAAAATACACTCTCCAGATACTTTATTAGGTACACCTTGCTAGTACCAGGTTTAACCCCTTTTTCAGAACTGCTTTAATTCTTCATAGCATTGATTCAACAAGGTGTTGGAAACATTCCTCTGAGATTTTGGTCCATATTGACATGATAGCATCATGCAGTTTCTGCAGATTTGTCGGCTGCACATCCATAATGGGAATATCCTGTTCCACTACATCCCAAATGTGCTCTTTTGGATTGAGTTTTGTTGACTGTGGAGGTCATCTGAGTACAGTGAACTCATTGTCATGTTCAAGAAACCAGTTTGAGATGATTTGATCTTTGTGACATGGTGCATTATCCTGCTGGAAGTAACCATCAGAAGATGGGTACACTGTAGTCATAAAGGGCTTGACATGGTCAGCAACAATACTCAGGAAGGCTGAGGCATTTAACCGATGCTCAGTTGGTACTAAAGGGCCCAAAGTGTGCCAAGAAAATATCCCCTGCACCATTACAGCACCACGTCCAGCTTGAATCAGACCAGGCAACATTTTTCCAATCTTCTATCTCTAATCCTGCCTGTGCGAATTGCAGCCTCCCTTTCCTCTTCTTAGCTGACAGGAGTGGCACCTGGTGTGGTGTTCTGCTGCTTTAGCCCATCTGCTTCAAGGTTTAATTTGTTGTGCATTCAGAGATGGTATTCTACATACCTTGGTTGTAACGAGTGGTTTATGAGTTACTGTTGCCTTTCTATCATCTCAAACCTGTCCATTCTCCTCTGACCTCTGACATCAACAAGGCATTTGTGTCCACACAACTGCAGCTCACTGGATATTTTCCCTTTTTCAGACCATTTTCTGTAAACCCTAGAGATGGTTGTGCATGAAACTCCCAGTAGATCAGCAGTTTTTGAAATACTCGTCTGGCAGCAACAACCATGCCATGTTCAAAGTCACTTAAATCGCCTTTCTTCCCCATTCTGATTTTCAGTTTGAAATTCAGCAAGTAGTCTTCACCACGTCTAGATGCCTAAATGCA